TTTCAAAATTTGTTAGAAAAGATTTCTATTTTAAATAAATGCTCTTCTTTTAAACTTTTTATTCATCAAAGAATCCTGAAAAAAAGTATCACAGGTTCCAAAAAAAGGAATGAATGAATGATGCATTTGATGATAAATCAGCATATTAGAATGATTTCTGAAGGATCATGTAACACTGAAGACTGGAGTAATGATGCTGAAAATTCAGCTTTGCATCACAGGAATAAATTACATTTTAATGTATATTAAAATAGAAAACTTTAATTTTACATCATATTAATATTTCACAATATTACATTTTTTCCTGTATTTTTGATCAAATAAATGCTGCCTTGATGAGCATAAGAAACTCCTTTAAAAAACATACAAAATCGTTCTGATCTCAAATTTTTGTCCGGGAGTGTATATATATATATATAGAGCAGACACATTATAGCAAAAAAAAAAAAAGGTCAGTTGTCTATTTAAATTGTCTAATGTCAATTGTCAAGGAGATTTCTGTTGGGCAGCTCAGTGGCGAAATTCCAGATTGCATTGATTTTATTGAAATTACTCTGTTTTACCAAAATGTGCAACTTTAAATGTGAGCGCATCTTTAATCTGGAGCCCTCTCAGGCTTTTCTTCATACTAATCACTGTCTATCATATGTATGTTAGGTTCATTACAGTTGCTTTTTTTCTGTTGTGCAGTTCTGGCAGTTTGGTGAGTGGGTCGACATCGTGATTGATGATCGGCTCCCGGTCAGAGACGGAGAGATCATGTTTGTCCATTCAGCAGAGGGAAATGAGTTCTGGAGTGCCTTGGTTGAAAAAGCCTATGCTAAGTATGTCCTGATAGACATTTTGGTAAAGGCCAGCAAAATGTGTTCTTACTAAACAAGAATCATTTACAAAAGTGGACAGTCTCTTTCTTGTTTAATAAAGATTTTAGCATAGTCTAAGGAGGACAGTCTCCTTACTTGTGTGTTTGTTTGTTTTGTGCCAGGCTAAATGGCTCCTATGAAGCTCTCTCTGGAGGATCCACTACTGAGGGTTTTGAGGATTTCACCGGAGGGGTTTCAGAGATGTACGAGCTCCGGAAGGCTCCGAGAGACCTGTACCGAATCATCAGCAAAGCCCTGGAGAGAGGCTCCCTGCTAGGCTGCTCTATTGATGTGAGAACTGAATTTACTATACTCCGTTTACTACAAAATTTGATTTATGTCACATTTAATGGCAGTTGTAATTGCATGGATTTACAAAACACTAATAATATAGGTAATTTGATATTTCTTTAGAAACATTTATTTACCTCAATCTAGGTTTAGGTTAATATATTATTTCTGGTTGTGTATCAGATCACCAGTGCCTTTGACATGGAATCTGTGACGTTCAAGAAGCTGGTTAAGGGTCATGCTTACTCAGTGACTGCTCTCAAACAGGTGATGCTTTTAGTATATGTTGCTCATAAGCACATTTGAGTTTAATTTAGTCTGCCTTCATGTGTGCGATCTCTCTTTGACAGGTGGAATTTAGGGATCATACAGAGAGGCTAATCCGCATCCGTAACCCATGGGGTCAGGTTGAATGGACGGGGGCCTGGAGCGACAAGTAAGAAATAACACAGAAACTCTTATTCAGTTCAGCCCAAGTCACTGAGTAAGAAGACTGTGTATGTTTCCTCTCCAGCTCCCCTGAATGGGATGAAATTGATCCATCTGAGAAGGATGACTTGCACTTAAAAATGGAGGATGGCGAGTTCTGGTGAGCTTTATCAGCAATAAAAATTTAAGCAATAGTTCACCCAAAATTTGCTGAAAATGTACTCACCCTCAGGTCATCCAAGATGTAGATAAGTTTGTTTCTTCATCAGAACAGATTTAGAGAAATTTAACCATACATCACCTGCTCACCAATGGATCCTCTGCAGTTGAATGGGTGCCGTCAGAATGAGAGTCCAAACAGCTGATTAAAAAAAGTTGTCTTGCCTGAATCAGGAGAGAAATATGCACAAATCAAGCACTGTTTACAAGCAAAAACAGTCCAGAACAGTTCTAACCAAATATGTGTTAGGATTTTGTGAGAGGACAGCAGGGGATCAACTTTTTCACTGGAGGAAGCGTTATTATAGATTCTGGGCTTATATATAGGCCATAAGCATTGGTTTAAAGTTGAAATGCTTTAGTGATGGATTTGTTTCTTACAAATATGCAACTTTTCAATTACAAGATTGATTAACTGATGGATTGGAGTTGTGTGGATTATTGTGATATGTTTATCAGCTGTTTGGCCTCTAATTCTGACGGCACCCATTCACAGCAGAGGATCCATTGGTGAGCAAGTTTTGATGAAGGAACAAACTCATCTATATATACGGGATGTCATGAAGGTGAGTACATTTTTAGAAAATTTTTATTTTTGGGTGAACTATTCCTATAAATTTGACACATCAGTAGACCAAAAACGCATTGCGTACACTCACAGCATAAATAAACACTTCCCTTTGTCACCAGGATGTCGTTCAGTGAGTTTTTGCAGCAGTTCTCCAGGCTGGAGATTTGTAATCTGACCCCTGATGCTCTGAGTGATGATGACCTGAGCCACTGGAACACCATCAAGTTTCACGGTGCCTGGCGGAGAGGCAGTACCGCAGGAGGCTGCCGAAACCATCCCAGTGAGTAACACCCCTGTTCACATCCAGCGATTTTATTAGTTGAGGTCACAGTGTGGCTGTATTGTTGGTCATAATGGGTTGGTCATTATTTTTTTGTGGAAACAGTGGCACATTTTTCCCTAGGATTGTTTGATGAATACAAAGTTCAAAAGAACAGTACATCTTTTGTAGCATTATAAAAATCTTTACTGTCACTTTTAATCAATTTAATGCATTATTGCTGAATAAAATATACATTTCTTAAAAATAGTGTAAAAGTAGTGTATAAAGCATCATATCACGAACAAGATGAACAATTATTAATTCATAAATCAAGCTCAGCTACCAGCTTTATCTGGGATTTGAACCCTTGACTGGTACATGTTCCTGTACTATTTGGCAGACACATTCTGGATCAATCCACAGTATAAGATCACATTGCTGGAGGAAGACGATGACCCAGAGGATGAAGAAGTGGCCTGCAGTTTCCTGGTGGCTTTAATGCAGAAAGACCGCAGACGGTACCGCCACCACGGACAGGACATGCACACCATCGGCTTTGCTATCTACGAGGTGAAGAGCAAAATATGTTCAAATTGAGTTTATAGATAACTTTGTGCCTAATTGTTTCCTTTCTTTTCCTTATTTTCTCCTCCTTGCAGATTCCTGAAGAGGTATGAACCCATGTCAACAATTTTTTTGTTAAATAGGGTTGCCTACATTATTAAGGCATGTATACTTCCATAAACAGGTCATTTATTTTTAAAACAGAGGGTTGAATTTTCCTCTAGATTATTCACAGTGGAATAACAGTGGGATAATTTTGCGTACGGCACAGATTTGTCATTTCCATCTGTCTGCAGTATGCCGGCTGTCAGAACGTTCACCTTAAAAAGGACTTCTTCCTAAAACACTCATCGTCTGCCCGCTCTGAGTCCTTCATTAACCTGCGGGAGGTGAGCACTCGTCTCCGCCTGCCTCCCGGTGAATACATCATCGTCCCCTCCACCTTCGAACCCAGCAAAGACGCTGATTTTGTCCTACGAGTCTTCACTGAAAAGCAGTCACAGACGGAGTGAGTGTGTGTTCATTTTTGAAATAGCACCCAAAAATTCATTTTTTACTCACTCTCATGATATATCTGTCCAATTTCCAAGCTTCATTTTTCCACTGAGAGTGGACAGAGATTTTATGCATTCATTAAAGGGGTCATATGATGCTATTTTAAAGATCATTATTTTGTGTATTTGGTGTAACAGAATATGTTGACATGCTTTAATGTTCAAAAAACACATTATTTTTCAAATACTGTACATTTTTGTAGGTCCTCCATGCCCCGCCTCTCTCAAACGCGTAGTTTTCTCTTTAAATCGCATCATATTACCCCTTTAATACAATACAATCTATTACAGTACATATATTATATGTGGCCCTGGACCACAAAACCTTAAGTCGCTGGGGTATATTTGTAGCAATATCCAAAAATACATTGTATGGGTCTAAATTATTGATTTTTCTTTTATGCCAAAAATCATTAGGATATTAAGTAAAGATCATGTTCCATGAATATATTTTGTAAACGTCCTACTGTAAATATATTCAAGCGTAATTTTTGATTAGTAATATGCATTGCTAAGAATTTCATTTGGACAAATTTAAAGGCGATTTTCTCAATATTTTGATTTTTTTGCACCCTCAGATTCCAAGTTTTCAAATAATTGTATCTCGGCCAAATATTATCCTATCCTGACAAACCATACATCAATGGAAAGCTTATTTATTCAGCTTTCAGATGATGTATAAATCTCAATTTCGAAAAATTGACCCTTATTGGTTTTGTGGTCCAGGGTCACACACACACACACACACACACATATATATATATATATATATATATATATATATATATATATATATATATATAACAGAAAATGATCATAATTTTTTTATGTTTTTATATAATGTATAACTATATTTACATATAGTAATATAATGCACAAGTCATATGCACTACTTTGATGATGCAGTTATTTTCTCTTGTCATATTTCCTATTGTGCTGCATGGAAAAAAAGAAAATTGGATTTGGAATGATACTAGGATTAGTACATTTTATTCTGTCACAACTTTCACTTTTTCCCTCAAAGGGAGTTGGATGACGAGATTTCAGCTGACCTGGAGGATGAGGTAGGATTTTGGATCCACATTAATTAGAAAACAAATGCCATATTCTTTAGACTTTTTAATAAACGTGGCTCCTTTGTAGGCAGAAATTACAGAGGATGATATTGATGACTCTTTCAAGTCCTTGTTTGCCCAGCTGGCTGGAGAGGTGAATAAATATATAAAACCGTGTTTTTCTATTTTAGCTCTACTACAGTGTTAGAACATTGCATTTAAATATCAACATTTGAACATTTTTTTCTTGTTTTAGGATATGGAGATATCTGTCCATGAACTCAGAACTATTCTCAACAGAGTAGTGTCCAAACGTGAGTAACGCTATTTTGCCTACACTTGGGGTCAACGCAGTCAAAACGAACCTGTTTATCTGATTTGAATGAACTGTTTCTCTCTCAGACAAGGATCTAAAGACAGATGGCTTCAGCATGGAGTCCTGCAGAACTATGGTAAACCTCTTGGATGTATCCTTCACTATTTAAAAGAGTATTCTGAGGTTAAATACAAGTTAAAGGTCCCCTGAAACGCTTAGAAACACGCAGCGTTACTCTATGTGTTGACATCATTTTAACAGAAACAGGAAGACAGGGCGGGACATATCAAGCAGCCCCGCCCCTTTTTAAAATAGCCAATAGCGTTCGTTTATATCATAGCTTGGCCTAGAGCCATTGAGCTCCGTAAAGCCACATTTGACAGGGTATGCCAGCCACAATCTCATCCATATTGCTATAAAATATAGCATTCTGTGTAGAATTCAAATAGCTCCGATACATTTTGTGGTCTGCGCCGACTCGCGCATGTGATCCGCTCCGTGCTATAATGTCTCTGGACCTGGAGCAGAGTATGTGTGCGGTGCGGTGGTTAGCATGACACAGCGCAAAACCAGACTTCTTTTTTTCCTCAATGGAAAGTATATTTACACTGTTTGAATCATTCCCTGTCACCTATATAGTGCACTACGTGCCATTCACTGTACAGAGAATACTAATTCTGTGGACAATTGACCGATTTCAGCCGCGGCTTCAGCGTCTATGTTACAGTGTAGGGGGCGGGGCTTCGGATTCTAGAGAACATTTGATTGGACAGAAAGTTTGATGAGAAGCTAAAGTACAATGTGACGTCAAAAAGAACGTTGAGCCGTTTTGGCGGAAGTGACGAACTGCAAGCTTTGAATGCTTATATCTCCTAAATGCGAATTGTGTCCCTGTTTTGGAGCACACTGCCTTATAGATAACCTTAAGACTAACATATTGATACTAACACCCAAAAAACTTTCATTTTGATTTCATGGGGACTTTAAGGTCTATTAACAGCTATGGAAACAGCTATGGTCTATTTACAATTACTATGGAAAATCATTTTGACTCGTTCTTGAGTTGGTAAAAACAAGCAGCAATCCTTTTTACATTCATGCAAATACAGTGGAAGTCTGAATTTCAGAAATGCTGGATGTTTAAAAGCAGAAACCTGAAGCTCATAGGCTATGTTTATTGGCTTTAAATGCCGATGACAGCAAATATTTGTGCACAAAGGTTAGCAGAATATGTTAATAAGAAGCATTTATTCTGGTACATTGCCTTGCTAAATTATTTTCTGTGATAAGTAACATCTGATCAGTTGTGATCAGACAACATGTATCTGTTTTTACTCTTGACTCTGTTCATCAGAAAGATGGTAGTGCACGGTTGGGTTTAGTAGAGTTTCAGATCCTCTGGAACAAAGTAAGGAAGTTACTGGTGAGTGTCTTAGGTCAGCCTTTTTTAAATTAATTTCACACTATGAAATGTTCATAGCTTCTTTAGTACAGTGTTCAAAATAAATATTCATTCTTTCCTTTTCACTCAGGGGATCTTCAGAGAGTTTGATATTGATAAGTCAGGGACTATGAGCTCTTATGAGATGCGTCTGGCTGTAGAATCAGCAGGTAAAAGAGACATTCATTTCATTAAAATGGTGCAAAAACTTGAATGAATTGAGATAATTTACTTGTCATGAGTCAGGATTTTAATATCATTTCATTTTTTTTTTAAAGAACTTAATATTTTTTTATTCAGCAAAGATGCATTAAATTGGTCAGATGTGACAGTAAAGACATTTATAATATCACAAAAGATTTATATTTCAAATAAATACTGTTCTATTCATCAAAAACTCCTAAAAAAAAATTGGCAATGGCTGCTGAAAATTCAGCTTTGCCATCACAGGAACAAATTACACTTAAAAATATTCAGTATCGCAATATTACTGTTTTTACTGTATCCTAATAGTGAGCATAAGACTTAAAATATTATACGTTACATTACAAAAATATTTTCAACCCCAAATTTTTCAATGATGTATATATAAATTAGTCTCTCTGAAAGACCCATCCTGTCATCCTGTACACTTTTACAGGTTTTAGGCTCAATAACAGACTCAACCAGATTCTTGTAGCCAAATACGCTGAGAACGAGGTAATCGATTTTGATAACTTCGTCTGCTGCTTGATCAAACTGGAAGCCATGTTCAGTAGGTGTTTCTTTTTGTATCACATGGTGGCTCTTAATATATTTTTTAAACATACCCAAAATGCTTTATCCCAGCTTGTTTTTCTTGGTCTTGCACTTTCTTGTAGGATCTTTTCAGCAGTTGGACAAAGATGGAACAGGAACGGCTGAGATGAACCTATCTGAGGTGCTCTGGCTTGATTTCATTTCAGTCAAATGTTGAAACAAACCATCTGCAAAACACTAATCTCTCATTGTACTTTTGTTGTGTAGTGGCTCTTCATGACCATGTGCGGTTGAGGTAGACCATTTCATGAACGTCCAACTCAAGAACCTGCTGGAAAGTGCCTCAATGCTGAACTCCTCATGCAACAATGCCACTATAACCTCATTAGAATACAGTGCTACTAGTTTTTTAAGGATTTCTTTTTCTCTCAATATTACATATTGCAGTTACACTACAAAGAAAACCCCTGTAGTGTGAAACACAAGAAAGAGGACCTCCACTCACTTCTGCTGTAATGACTGATGGAATGGCTGAGAAACATCATGTGCATGGGATAAATATCAAGTGAGCTTCAAGTTTTGTCCTAACAGAACTTTATTTCAAAAGGCTGTCTATGAATAGTGCCATGGGGGGGGGATAAACCACAGCACTGTATGTTCTCCTATAAGGTGAACTTATGCATCCTATTAAAAATGCTTTAGATGCACAATGCGTAATTGGGTAGATATTGTCACTGATTTCCTATGAACCAGAGCTTCAGAATAAACTGCTGTTATACTAAACTTGCATAACAAACATGTTATTAAAAAACAAATCCTAAAACCTGAAATGTTCTTACAAGTCATATTGGAGCATTTAATGGTGATTTGTGTGGAATTGAATTTTTAAGCTGGTTTATGTTAGTAATATTGAATTATCACACAATTCTGACTTTTTTGGATAAACCACAGCACTGTATGTTCTCCTATAAGGTGAACTTATGCATCCTATTAAAAATGCTTTAGATGCACAATGCGTAATTGGGTAGATATTGTCACTGATTTCCTATGAACCAGAGCTTCAGAATAAACTGCTGTTATACTAAACTTGCATAACAAACATATGTTATTAAAAAACAAATCCTAAAACCTGAAATGTTCTTACAAGTCATATTGGAGCATTTAATGGTGATTTGTGTGGAATTGAATTTTTAAGCTGGTTTATGTTAGTAATATTGAATTATCACACAATTCTGACTTTTTTGCTCAAAATTCTGATAAAAAATTTCGGAATTGCAAGATATAAATTCACAGTTCTGAGGAAAAAAGTCAGAATCGCAATATATAAATTTACAAGTCAGAAGGGGGGGAAAAAAATCAGAATTGCAAGAAATAAACTTAATTTCTGACTTTTTCTTGCAATGCCAAGTTTACATCTTGCAGTTTTTTTTTTCTGTTCCATTTCAGTTTTTTCTTCAGAATCAAAAAATAAAAAAGTAATTAGAATTCCTATTTCTCCCACAATTCTAACTTTTTCAGAATTGCAAGTTTATATTTCGCAATTCTGAGAAACAATTGTGAGAATTGTGAGAAAGAAAAGTTGATATACTATTAAAAAAATACTTCTTTTTTTTTTGTCCCATGGTGGAAAATGGCACACTTTAATCCAGTTTATGTACCATTCTCTACAAAATCACAAGTAATAACTATAGCAAATAGTATTACAAAGTTTCATCCACATATTTTATTACAAATAATTCCACAAGTAATCATGAAAGCTAATTTCCTGAATGGCATGAAGAATTGTTATATTTACAAAGATAAGTAGTTAAATACATGAGACATATTTTAGGATTTGTCCTCCCAGAATACAAAAACACCAATTTAAACAAATCGCTGAGCAATGGCTAACAGTTTAGAGTATTCCCCCTCCATTTTGCGCAGATGTGTTGGTATAGGAGCTATATTTCGCAATTCTGAGAAAGAATTGTGAGAATTGTGAGAAAGAAAAGTTGATATACTATTAAAAAAATACTTCTTGGTGGAAAATGGCACACTTTAATCCAGTTTATGTACCATTCTCTACAAAATCACAAGTAATAACTATAGCAAATAGTATTACAAAGTTTCATCCACATATTTTATTACAAATAATTCCACAAGTAATCATGAAAGCTAATTTCCTGAATGGCATGAAGAATTGTTATATTTACAAAGATAAGTAGTTAAATACATGAGACATATTTTAGGATTTGTCCTCCCAGAATACAAAAACACCAATTTAAACAAATCGCTGAGCAATGGCTAACAGTTTAGAGTATTCCCCCTCCATTTTGCGCAGATGTGTTGGTATAGGAGCTTTTATTCTTGTTCCTGTGGGGTTTCCATTCTCTTCGATCAAAACCACGTTATTTGAGTCGAAGCGTGGGGTCATTCGAGCTCCAGGCATCTTGTGACCCACTATGAGAGCTTTTTTCTTCTGTCCTTTAATGGCCAGTAAGACTCTGTCTCCCACTTTACCGATTACATTCTTGGTGTATACGTGAATGACTTTTGGTGGACGGTGGTGATGGGAATTTCCAAGAGCACTGTTGTCGACCACCCTCACGCGTGTTAACTTCTGAATAGCGGCCACAGCTGCTGAGACACTGCAGTGAGATGATAATATGATGGTTTGAACTACAATGCAAAATATATGACCAGTGTTGGGGGTAACGCATTACAAGTAACGCGAGTTACGTAATCGGATTACTTTTTTCAAGTAACTAGTAAAGTAACGCATTACTTTTTTAATTTACAAGAAAATATCTTGAGTTACTTTTTCAAAAAAGTAACGCCAGTTACTTTGTTTTCCCATTTATTGACTGACAAGTCTCCTGTCCCCATATTGGGAGAAACTGGAAGTGCAGAGGAGTTGTGTGCGCTGCGTGAACATCATGTTACTGTAGTTCTAGACTAAATGTGAATGTGCATTAATTCATCCCACTCACAAAAAACAGATTTAGTATTCATCAAAATGAATTAAAACAGTGAAATGCAAACTCAGAATATGACGCAAACCTGCAATAATTAAATATGTTAAATAACACAAATGTATCTAATCCCATTTTATTAACCAATATCTTTGCTGCTGACCTTTGATGATCCAGTTTAACCATACTAATAAGCAAAAATGACTTTAGAGAAACTAACAATTGTGCTTCATTGTTTTTGTTATTGCTGAAAAGTGTTTCTTCTTCTTCGTTCTACTGTACAGACGTGAATTTACTTTTTCTTCAGCCTGAGGTTTATTCATTACACTTTTTGGTGTGAAAGGGCTTTTATATTTGCTATAAATATAACTTTTTATATTAAAATCAAGCCCTGCTTAAATTTAAAAAGTAACACGAAAGTAACGCAAAAGTAATATAACGCATTACTTTCCATAAAAAGTAACCAAGTAACGTAATTAGTTACTCGTTTGCTCTATTTCTTGTATTGATTCAATGGCAGCGAACTGAGCTCGTTCGCGCCACCTGCAGCGCTGGAGGATATACACCGCCTTGGCAAGAGACTTGATTAAAACAAATACCAATTACTTTTTTTTTGTATTACCCCCATAGACTGTATAAAAACAGATTACCCCCGGCCTATTTTCTGTATTTATTTATTTTTTTTAAATTTCCCCCACGTGTTAATTTACATTATTATTATTTACATCCAAAAATATATTTAGGAGTAAATTGAATTAAAAATGTATTTGTTTTATCAAGTCATGCTTTCTTTCTTTATTTTGTGTTATTTATTTGTTTGTTTGTTTTCTGCAGGCTTGTGGCCCCATCCAGCTGCGGGCCTTGATGTCAATGGAGCAAACTTGCAAAAACATAATATACATAGATGCATATAGAATCAGTAAGCAACAAGACATTTTATAAAATGGTTTTAATTCAATTGTTATTTCAAAGATAATTTGATGAAGTACAGAAAACTAAAAGATCAGGCCTTAAATTGTATGTAGAGTACAGAAAGCAAGTCAGAGAGCTTAGATATCTGGGGGGAAAAAGTTATATACAGGTGCATCTCAATAAATTAGAATGTCATGGAAAAGTTCATTTATTTCAGTAATTCAATGTACTCAATACTTGGTAGGGGCTCCTTTTGCTTTAATTACTGCCTCAATTCGGCGTGGCATGGAGTAATATAACGCATTACTTTCCATAAAAAGTAACTAAGTAACGTAATTAGTTACTTTTTTTAGGAAGTAACGTAGTATTGTAATGCATTACTTTTAAAAGTAACTTTCCCCAACACTGTACATGACAAGTCAACACATTTAAACAAAAAATGATTCATATATCATGTCTAATGTACTGATATAAGCAGTGTATATCTCATAATTTCTGAGAAACTCGACCACTAATCATATATCCAGAGCAAAACATTTGAATTCTCATGTGTGGTAACTAGTTTATAACTATTGGTTTCGAAATCACCCTAGATATCAAAACCAGGATGCCCACACTTGCTGACCAATATATTTCTGCAGTCATTCGTGATTATAAATGATCGCTTTTGTAGAATTTAACCCTAAAAAGGCATATTACAATTCCCTCATATTTCTCCCATGATTATGTGAACCTCAACAATGAAGAAAGTGTTCACCTGAAAGCCCTCTGCTGCATCAGTTTGGGCAAAATCACCCCGGACAACGACAGGGCCATCCCGACCTGACATTAAACAAGCCAAAATTTAAAACAAAGATTTTAGAAACGTTTTCTCTATTAATAACGAGTATAGTATGGGCAATTCTCATGTTATTTAACTGCCTCTGGTTATCGGTGAAAGCAAGAGAAGTAGGTGAACTCTTAACGTTGGTCATAATGTTCTTGTAAAGTGATATTAAATAGTCTAAACAAATAGCGTTATTAAATACCTGCTCAGATCATTCACGCCACACCAATGTCATGCACACATCTGCGTCACAACAAAGCGACGTTTGCTCTATTTCTTGTATTGATTCAATGGCAGCGAACTGAGCTCGTTCGCGCCACCTGCAGCGCTGGAGGATATACACCGCCTTGGCAAGAGACTTGATTAAAACAAATACAATTACTTTTTTTTTGTATTACCCCCATAGACTGTATAAAAACAGATTACCCCCGGCCTATTTTCTGTATTTATTTATTTTTTTTAAATTTCCCCCACGTGTTAATTTACATTATTATTATTTACATCCAAAAATATATTTAGGAGTAAATTGAATTAAAAATGTATTTGTTTTATCAAGTCATGCTTTCTTTCTTTATTTTGTGTTATTTATTTGTTTGCTTGTTTTCTGCAGGCTTGTGGCCCCATCCAGCTGCGGGCCTTGATGTCAATGGAGCAAACTTGCAAAAACATAATATACATAGATGCATATAGAATCAGTAAGCAACAAGACATTTTATAAAATGGTTTTAATTCAATTGTTATTTCAAAGATAATTTGATGAAGTACAGAAAACTAAAAGATCAGGCCTTAAATTGTATGTAGAGTACAGAAAGCAAGTCAGAGAGCTTAGATATCTGGGGGGAAAAAGTTATATACAGGTGCATCTCAATAAATTAGAATGTCATGGAAAAGTTCATTTATTTCAGTAATTCAATGTACTCAATACTTGGTAGGGGCTCCTTTTGCTTTAATTACTGCCTCAATTCGGCGTGGCATGGAGGTGATCAGTTTGTGGCACTGCGGAGGTGGTATGGAAGCCTAGGTTTCTTTGACAGTGGCCTTCAGCTCATCTGCATTTTTTGGTCTCTTGTTTCTCATTTTCCTCTTGACAATACCCCGGGCAATTCTCATGTTATTTAACTGCCTCTGGTTATCGGTGAAAGCAAGAGAAGTAGGTGAACTCTTAACGTTGGTCATAATGTTCTTGTAAAGTGATATTAAATAGTCTAAACAAATAGCGTTATTAAATACCTGCTCAGATCATTCACGCCACACCAATGTCATGCACACATCTGCGTCACAACAAAGCGACGTTTGCTCTATTTCTTGTATTGATTCAATGGCAGCGAACTGAGCTCGTTCGCGCCACCTGCAGCGCTGGAGGATATACACCGCCTTGGCAAGAGACTTGATTAAAACAAATACAATTACTTTTTTTTTGTATTACCCCCATAGACTGTATAAAAACAGATTACCCCCGGCCTATTTTCTGTATTTATTTATTTTTTTTAAATTTCCCCCACGTGTTAATTTACATTATTATTATTTACATCCAAAAATATATTTAGGAGTAAATTGAATTAAAAATGTATTTGTTTTATCAAGTCATGCTTTCTTTCTTTATTTTGTGTTATTTATTTGTTTGCTTGTTTTCTGCAGGCTTGTGGCCCCATCCAGCTGCGGGCCTTGATGTCAATGGAGCAAACTTGCAAAAACATAATATACATAGATGCATATAGAATCAGTAAGCAACAAGACATTTTATAAAATGGTTTTAATTCAATTGTTATTTCAAAGATAATTTGATGAAGTACAGAAAACTAAAAGATCAGGCCTTAAATTGTATGTAGAGTACAGAAAGCAAGTCAGAGAGCTTAGATATCTGGGGGGGGGGAAGTTATATACAGGTGCATCTCAATAAATTAGAATGTCATGGAAAAGTTCATTTATTTCAGTAATTCAATGTACTCAATACTTGGTAGGGGCTCCTTTTGCTTTAATTACTGCCTCAATTCGGCGTGGCATGGATTTTTTTGTATTACCCCCATAGACTGTATAAAAACAGATTACCCCCGGCCTATTTTCTGTATTTATTTTTATTTTTTAATTTCCCCCACGTGTTAATTTACATTATTATTATTTACATCCAAAAATATATTTAGGAGTAAATTGAATTAAAAATGTATTTGTTTTATCAAGTCATGCTTTCTTTATTTATTTTGTGTTATTTATTTGTTTGCTTGTTTTCTGCAGGCTTGTGGCCCCATCCAGCTGCGGGCCTTGATGTCAATGGAGCAAACTTGCAAAAACATAATATACATAGATGGTGATGGTATGAAGAGATGGATTATTTAATGTAGGACGCCACTGAAGGCCTAGGTGTAAAATGCACGGCCCGCCACTGGCAACTTACAACAAATCATCTGTTTTTAAAATGTTAAAAACAATGCAAAAAGGTACAGAATGTGTAGCTGATATCAAAAAGCTGATATAGCTTACTGACTTTTGCAAGAGATGAAAATAACTTCAACTGAAAGTAGAATTGCTTGTTTACCATATTAATAATTCACATACACATAGGCCTATCATATTATTCATTCATTCACATCTTAATGTCTGTTATAACCTCTGACAATATTTTGACTTCAACAGCTAGAGGTCATTATTGGACTACAAATGTAACAGAACTTTGAAGTCTGTGGTGGTATAAAAAAATAAGAAATTAGAAATCATTATTAGTCAGTTTTATCCTTGAAAATATGTTCTCTCGAAATAAAATGAGACATTGTAAGCACCTCAATGCAGATGAGGTTTACACAATCTGGTTACACAGTCAGTCACTGAGAGCCAGTGTGGAGATCATAAAAATACATGTCTAGTGTTAGCTGGTTAGGGATACGGTTAATCTGTTTGGTTTGGTGTTAGGATTAAGATGGTATTGTTGGTATCGAGGTAAATTGGTCAAATATAGAGTGGGGATTTATTATTAATATTGAATAACAAGTAATTTGCTAGGGGGTAATAAACTATTACACAAAGACATCTACAATCTGAACAGATTTCTGTTTAGGAGGTCTAATAGTTAGTTGGTTAGGGTTAGCTGGTTTAAACCAGAGCCATATATGAATAATTGAGGGGTGCACAAGAATCAAAAACATTAAACAAGATTAGTTTTCACTTAATAAAATATCTTCATTTATTTGGAATGAATTTTCTAAGACAACAAACTTAACATTTACCATGAGATTAGTAAAACGACAGCGAACATTAAGATGTGATTGAACTTGACTAACATGCAAGTTGTAAGAACACATACATACAATTATATTTATATAGAGAGGCTGAAGTTACCTTGGTAGAAGACCACAATGTCGTTTACAGTGTTGTTTTTAAAAGATAAAATCCGCTAATATTTGAGGATTAATGTGGTCAGCTATCCTTACCTGCCTTGTTAACATATTTTCGGCTTTAGTTACCATGGTAAAAGTCCGTGTTTGCTAGCTATATATATATATATATATACACATTATTTTATAAATAAGTAAATAATAAATAAATAAATAATGTAAATAAATTATTTTATTGTCTGCTAATTACCAAAAATCACAGTTCTGTCTCTCCAACTCAATGTATTTGAATTGCCCGCTATGAACTTCCTGGAACTCTTTGAGGTCTACGTGAATCACGTGACGATCGAGCGTTTTGGACATCCGTTGACGCAACTCTCTCTTTCTATGGTTCTGGTTTAGGCGTGTTCCGAGGCCACGCCTCTTTTCCAACATCCGGGACGTTTAGCGCGAAGCTGGAAAAAACACCTCAGACTTTCAGGAACGACCGTTAACAGCGTGTGGCGGCATTTCCCGCCATTCACGGTCTTTTGTCAAAGAAATTAAACTGATGCTAGCGGTGATATGCTGCTTTCAAGCCTCTTGTGAATTAACGTGAGCCGTTTTCAGGGGAGCTTGAGCTTGAGGTGACTGACAGTTTGTGGCTGTCACGCACGCGTGCTCTCGCGCAAACGGAGGCGCGCACGTGACGCGCGCTCGCGCTCTCTAGTCAGCGGGAACGCGCCCGCGCCCGCGTCCCAGTCAGAACCGACCCGAGTCTCGAGCGGAACAGTGACGAACAGAAACGGTAAGAAACCGGCACTCACGGGAACCGACTGTCACGAAAGTCCAGGCAGGTCACCAAACTGTAATGTGTGAATTAACGGCACGAGACTTGAGTGACATTTACACACTTTATGTCTTTGAGGACAAGCTAGCAAGCTAACCGCTAACTAGAGTCATAAATATTTAATTTTACTTCGCACATTTATAATTCATAATAATTACACATATTTAGCTTTATGTGGTGGATACTTCATCTGTTTAATACTGAAGCGCGCTGGTTATTTATTTGCTTTCAGGAAAATAAGTGCTTTAAGCTAGTTTGTCACGCAGCTGAATGAGTGCTAGTTTATATTTAGCCCCTCAGCAGAAATATCATTATAAATATAGATTTTTATATATAGGTTTATTTACATTGAAATGTCATTATGAGATCCTGACACATGCAACAAGCATGATATCGTACGCACAATGCTTTGGTAAAACTACTCTCGTTTGTTTATTTAAATAATTTGCTTGTTAATGTCGTTGTATAAATACATTTTCTGACTAAAGAGCATGTAAGAACAGATGAGGCTGCTTTATTTGAAACAGTTTGTGGCTGTCACGCACGCGTGCTCTCGCGCAAACGGAGGCGCGCACGTGACGCGCGCTCGCGCTCTCTAGTCAGCGGGAACGCGCCCGCGTCCCAGTCAGAACCGACCCGAGTCTCGAGCGGAACAGTGACGAACAGAAACGGTAAGAAACCGGCACTCACGGGAACCGACTGTCACGAAAGTCCAGGCAGGTCACTAAACTGTAATGTGTGAATTAACGGCACGAGACTTGAGTGACATTTACACACTTTATGTCTTTGAGGACAAGCTAGCAAGCTAACCGCTAACTAGAGTCATAAATATTGAATTTTACTTCGCACATTTATAATTCATAATAATTACACATATTTAGCTTTATGTGGTGGATACTTCATCTGTTTAATACTGAAGCGCGCTGGTTATTTATTTGCTTTCAGGAAAATAAGTGCTTTAAGCTAGTTTGTCACGCAGCTGAATGAGTGCTAGTTTATATTTAGCCCCTCAGCAGAAATATCATTATAAATATAGATTTTTATATATAGGTTTATTTACATTGAAATGTCATTATGAGATCCTGACACATTCAACAAGCATGATATCGTACGCACAATGCTTTGGTAAAACTACTCTCGTTTGTTTATTTAAATAATTTGCTTGTTAATGTCGTTGTATAAATACATTTTCTGACTAAAGAGCATGTAAGAACAGATGAGGCTGCTTTATTTGAAGAATCAAACGAATTAGTCTTCCGTGCCTGTGATATTTCTCTGCTTTGTCACATTATATTATGAGGTTCGGTTGTGTGTCTGGTGTTAATCAGCTCTGAGTCCAGACACACATGACTAAAGCCTCTATTTGTGGGTGTGTGAGGTAGTGCGAGAGGCCAGGTTTATCTATCCTACATTATCTAGCCTACATTTTATGAAATAACACACCAAGATGCAGAGTTAAGTCTAATAGACCTGCATAGAAAAATGACTGTCAATGCAATTTTCTCTGCTGTGTGCTGTTAGATTGCTTTATTGTCTCAACAAACTGGTCATTAAGGTTATATTTTACACAAATAGACCACCTTTGTGAGAAGAGACCATAAACGTCTCATTCAGTGTTTTCTACGTGCACCGTGAAGTTGCTGCTGACATGGGGACGCCAGGATCAGGACGAAAACGGGCCCCAATTAAAGACCGTTTCTCAGCCGAGGATGAGGCGCTGAGCAGCATCGCCAGAGAGGTAAGAGCTGATCACCTGTAACCCCTGTTTCTCACTCATGTCATCTTGTGGCTGGTGGTTTCCTGTAACCACAATAAAGGAAGCATTCACCTAGAAACTCACCCCGATGTTGTTGTTACAAACCCAAACAACTTAATTATGCATATGTACAACTAAATCATACAATGATTTTGGACTGTTAAGAAATTAAAAAGACAAGCAAGTCATACTTCATGGGAAACAGACTGAAATTCAGTCATTATTTGCCCTTCACTGTAGCTTACAACTCTCATTTGCAGTTCCACGTGCATGTCTGGTTACTTGACACAAGAAGCAGTGGCTTTTGCTGCCTTTGCAGCTGGTGAAGTTATGAATATGGGACATTACAAAGCAACATGACCCAGCCCAATTAATCTTTTTTTTTTTTTTTTAACAAAGCCCTATACATGCTGTCATATGAACAAGCAGCGATGATACAGAATTAAGTTTCACAAACCTTATGTAAACAAAACTCCGGACATCACTGAAAGCTATGATAACTTTCAGTTCAGTATGCGAGTCAGATGTTGATTCTGTAACCGCTCTTAGTGGATTCGGTATATTTGTGTAGCAGTGTTTTCCCATCATTGTATGCATTCTAAATGGGTAGGATACTCCATCAGAGACATTGGAGTGTACTAAAGGTGCTGTAAGTTATTTGCTTTTTTGAAATACCACACACAAAACGTCCCAACTACTTGACAGATATTACAGGAATATGTGTACCTGCCTCTGTGACAGCCTTAGGCTCTGTAAACGGCAAAGAAGACTCAGGGTAGCGGCCAACACCTTGTAATCAGAAACGCTCTCCATCTGTCAATCATTGTGCCTGTTTGGGTTTGCTGACGTTGAATTTGCTGGCATGTCTTTGAAAGGTGGTGTTTTGGAGAAAGGGCGTGTAATGACATCTCAAATGGGGATCTTTGCTGAATTTAAGTGACTGTCCAAAGCCTGACATTTGAAATAATATTTAGAAAAATAAAATTTTTGAAATGGAACAATTTGTTTAGATACAGTTTGAAGAATGGTTTGCATATGCGTTTGATGTTATTTATCTTACTTGATACATCAGACTTTTATGGCCCATATAGTATGATATAGTGATGATGTGAAGCTCATACTCGAGAAGGAAAAAATATGCAATTTGATTCAGTTGTTACTTATATGACCAAGATGTTGAAATGTTTGTAATGTCAATCAATGAGAACAGACTACTTGCATAAAATGCATGTCAGTTATCATGAATATATCTTCCAATAATATGTCTTAAGATGATTAAGATATTAAAATACTTTGTTTTATTATCAAAGCTCAGTAGTTTTCATTGTGGGGGCAAAACATTTCAAAAATTTAAATGTAATTCAAATGCAATACAATGATGATTGAGATGTTCAAATAACCACTTCTCAAAAGGCTGATGTATCATATTTGATACTTATGTTTCAATAGGAGTTTTATAAAAAATTATGTATGGATAATTAAGTAAGTAAGTTGCTGCAATCCAGAAAGTGTTTATCTTTACAAAATAAAAGTTATCTTTACATTTACCTTGTAAAAATCATTAAAGATTTCAGAGCAAAATGACATGTAGGTGAACATTTTTAGAATTATACTAAAATGCATTTTAGTTGCTAAAAACACCAGTCAGACACCAGAAGGCATGTAGATGATGCTATATTTTGACAATGTTGGTAATTTGGAGGCCTTAGAAATTCATGTATCAAATATGATACAGTAAGCTTTATGGGGTTAAAGGTGAATGTCTGCTATTTATCTAATCTCTGCATCTAAGTCTGAATAGTTTGCATCTGCATTATATTGTTGGTCAGTCCCTCATGTCGATATGTTGACGTTCAGGTTTTGCCAGTTGGAGCTGCAGCTGATGAAGTTTGACTCACAGCTTGAGCAGGAAGCAGCCAGTATGGACTTGTCTTAGATTTTTCAGCAGCACACATGTGTGAGCTCATCACTCTTGCAAGCAGAAAATTATCATCATTTGTATGTCATGTTCATTATTAGGGATGCACGATATATCGGCCACCATATCGGTATCGGCCCATATCGGCTCATTTTTTCTGTTATCGGTATCGGCCTGATAAGAAAATTTGGCCGATATCTTAAAGCCGATAAATAATGCATTATTTCCTTCAGAGACACTTCAGATGCGCGCTGTTCTTTTGCAGCCTTTTGTGCAATATATAACCATAACATATGCATTTCTTGTTGCTGTGATACAACTTTAGCTAAAGCACAGCATTGTCAGCTTGTTAATTACAGTACTGGCACTTAATATATCAAAACAAAAAAAATCTAGATTAACAAGTCAACCTTGTTTGCCTGCAAACAACATCCTAATGATTAATCAATCAGCTTTTTTCTTTACTTTTCTTTTTTTTTGGCAATTCCCTCATCTTAAAAGGAAATAAAAATGGACAGTTCCTATTTTTAATGGAATATTGATTTTTTTTATTGTTATTATAAATAATTTATCTTTGCACATCGTTATATATTTAAAATATTTAAATATTTAAAATAAGCTTCCTTTCCCTTCAACTTCTCTGACTATTTGCACCTCTTTTTTTTTTTTGTTCAAGAAACTGTTTAAAGGGGTCATATGATGCGATTTCAAGTTTTCCTTTCTCTTTGGAGTGTTACAAGCTGTTCGTGAATAGATAAGATCCCTAAAGTTGCAAAGACTAAAGTCTCAAACCCAAAGAGAGATTCTTCATAAAAGTTAAGACTCATCCACGTCCTCCTAAAATGCCTCGTTCAAACACGCCCCCACATGTCTACGTCATGATGTAGGAAGATTTGCATGACACCGCCCAAATGTTCACGCAAAGAAAGAAGGCGTAACTTTATTGTTGCTGCCACCGACGCCGCCATGTTTTGAAGACGCTGTGTGTTTCGTTGCGAAAGCGAAAATACTTTGTTTGGCCTTCCAAAAGAGGACACGACTAGAAATCAGTGGTTAAGTTGTATTTACAACACTGTTCCAGAACAGTTCAACCTAAATATTCAGATGTGTGCTGCGCATTTTATGGAGGACTGTTTCCTAGTGCTGGGCGGTATACTGGTTCATACCGAATACAAAACAGCGTTTCCAAGCACCTGTCGCTTACTGATTGTTTGGAATTATAAATATGAGCGTAGTTCGTCTGTTAATATCACATGCACTTTTTTTGTTTGTTGTTTTTTTTTAGTTTGTTACTCAGACGCAGGCAGTGCGCGGCACGAGACAAAAAGTGTATTTAGTGTGGAATTTTTTGACAATATTCACTCATCATGACAGTAAAATAGGGCATTCTAAGTCAATATACTGCAGTATTTCCTCTCTCAATCAGTAGAAAATATGGTTAACACCCGGTCATGCATGAAAAATAAATAAAATACCTTCATGTACCGTGAAACCGGTATAATTTTGAAAAATACCGTGACATAAATTTTTGGTCATACCGCCCAGCACTACTGTTTCCTGATCCTGGTAGAGTAGACTACAATGCCGGCTGTTCTGACTCACAGTCTGTAAGTACGTTTTCATATTTAAAGAATTTGCCACTGATGATTCAAACGTGAGTTTTGAGCAGTGTAGAGTAGCGCTTGTTGTTTGTTATTTCTCTGATCACAAATGCAGACATGGTTTTATGTTTACGCGGCGCGATGCAACGCAATGTGTAAAAAACAGTATAAGTCATTATAATCCGTAATTATGTCCCCACTGGATGCAACAAATGCCTCGTTTATAATGGGTTTTAATGTTTTTGTGTCATCACTCCGGGACACGGCATCACAGTATGGTAAGGGGCGTAACATTTCCATCACACGCTTGAGGTGTTCGACCAATTACAATGCACTGGATAGCTGGCCAATCAGAGCACATCTCGCTTTTCAGACTGATGAGCTTTGTAAAAATCGACGCGTTTCAGAAAGGCGGGGCATAGAGGAGAAACAATAATGTACAGTATGTGGAAAATAATGTGTTTTTTGAACCTTAAACCCCATAAACACATTTCATTACACCAAATACACAAAATAATGTTATTTTTAGCAACATCATATAACACCTTTAAAATAAGGAAGAAAAGATGTTTGCATTTTCTATTTTGTGTCGACTTTAAAATAGGGATTTGATATAAATACCAGGACTTCTCTGCTACAGTTTAGTAAGGGAAAGAAAAACAAGGGTAGGTTTCTGATATACAAATTTTTTTCTAGTCAACTGTTTGTTCAGTCTGTAACATGAAGGAAATGAAAGGCAGTCATTTCCTTGTGATACTGTCACTGAAAAAGCACATTCATGCAGCAATATCTCCTTAATATGGACCATATAAGGATGTTTTAAAAGAGGAAACGGAACAATCTAAAGCTACAGGGTGTGAGTTGTACTGCAGAAGTGAAACTGCAGCCAGATTGAGGATGTTTGTTAAATCTCTAAATATTTAAGGATGATATATTTGCACACTGAGAGAAGTTTGGCATCTTGTCCTGTGCACTGCTGGAGTTCATGTACTTCTCAATCACACTTTTATACAGTTAAGAGAAGCTGAATTTCATACTGGTCCATTGCATTACGACACAAGCTAGATCTACTGTATCTAGAAGTGCAGGATTCACTCCACCCATGCAGTCCAAAGATTATGAATCACAGTCTACCTACAGTGTGCACAAAACTTTGCTTGCTTCATTGAACCTGCCTTTGTATCCACCCATTTTGTGCCTGCTGTGGAGGAAACTCCCTAATGGTTAAAAGAAATCTCTGTTAACCGAAAGCATGCCGTTTGATTTGTCTGTTGCATGGTCAGGGTTACTGGGGGTGAATTTGAACCATGCAACCCCCTGTTGAGGTCACTTATGTTACTGACCAGTCTTGTCACTTTCAGAGGGCAGTGGTTTGCATGGTACATTATCCACAAAGCAACAGAATGCAATAGTCCCCTCATCTTGGAGTATCTAGGGCAAGGTGTGATATTTCTTTAGCTATT